AACTGGGGCTGGATCATGTCATTTCCCCCAACACCGTCACACTGCTCAAGTTAGAAAACCTAAAATCTGGATGCCTAACTAAATCACAAAAGATCAGGCCCCAGGTACTCCTGGTAAACCATTTTATGATTTATACTTGTTTTATTAGAATACTGAGTTCAATTTACTTACCTCTTTTGGGGATGTATGCATGTATCTCAAATGATATTGGTCTAGATTTTGCTTTTTAGGAGTTATCCTCATCTAATTTTATTATTGGGATATTTGCCTTATAGAATGATTCTGAAAAACTTTGTTAGAGACTGTCTATTCTTTAAAACTTTCTTGCCTGCAAAACTATTGACCCTAGTTTTTAAAAAGCAACAGCATAACTGTATTTCTTTTCCCTTGCCTACAGATCTCTTACATTATAAACCTATGTTAAAAAATCTATAAATTATAAATTGTTTAAAATATAAAATAGATTGTTCAGGTTTTCTATAGAATCTTGAGTCAATTTTGATCATTTAGCTTTCTCTAAATAGGTCATTCTCCTTATTTTCATACATAATGAAATATATGTATAATACATTCATAAACTTAAAAACTTTTAAATCTCTTTGATATATGTAGCTATTTGCAATTCCCAAACATAAAGCTGTAACTGAGTCATCTTTTTTCCCTCAATAATAACTGCTGATTCTATATTAATGGTCTTTTCAAGGAGAATGTTTCTTATTCTACTTATACTTTTAAAAAATTGTATTTTTACCTTTATTGTATGAATTACTTACTGCTATTTACCTTAATTTAAAAAAAAATTGTTTTCTGGGAATTCCCCAGCAGTCCAGTTTTAGGACTTCTTGCTTTCACCGCAGAGGGCTTGGGTTCAATCCCTGGTGGGGGAACTAAGATTGCACCACCCATGCAGTGTGGCCAAAAAAAAACAAAATTCTGGCTTCAGCTAAATGCTTTTTTTTTTCTAGTACATTTATCGACTTCCTGCTGTGTGACAGGCACAGTAGGTATGGTAACAGAGTGCTGAACTAATTCTCAAGGCAGGTTTTCTAAATGCATCAAGGTTACTATTTTTCTACCAAGTAGAGCTTTAGTGACTTCCCACAAATTTTTACCTGGAGGTATCAAATTATCATTTATCATGAATAGTTTAACATTTCAGATTTTCTACTTAAACAAAAACTTTACTATGGAAAATTTTAAATATATGCAAAGGTAGTAAGAATAGCACAAGGAACCCTATGTTCCCATTATTCAAGTTTCAACAATTAACAACATTTTGCTGATCTTATTTCATCTATCCTTTCCACTTTTCACTTTTATTCAGTATTAAAAGCAAATCATACACATAATTTTATCTTTGAATACTTCAGTATGGATCTCTAATGCATAAGGATTTGTACACACACCCAAACCAATGCCATCATCATGCCTAACAAATGAATTCTTGTTGTTGCTAAGTCGTATCTGACTCTTTTGCAACCCCACTGACTATAGCCTGCTAGGCTCCTCTGTACATTAGATTGTCCAGACAAGAATATTGGAATGGGTTGTCATTTCCTTCTCCAGGGGATCTTCCTGACCCAGGGATTGAACCTGTGTCTCCTACATTGCAGGAGGATTCTTTATTACTGAGCCACCTGGGAAGCCCAACAAATGAATAATAATCTTTTAATATAATTTAATACCCATCCTAGGTTTACCTTTTCACAATAATGTGAGTTTTTAAAAAAATTTACCTGTCAGAATCAGGATTGTATTGAATATATTTTCTTATTTTCTATATTCTTGATGTTCTGGCATTTAGAGACTTGATCTTGGAGCAACTATCCCTTCTAGAGATAGCAAATTCCTTGACAAATGGCTCCCCTGTGAGCATGCTTTGATATACAAACCAACCAATCCAAAGTTGAAACCCCTTTATCAAACATTTTTAGCAAACTCTCAGACACCAAGTCAATATTCTTCCTGTCCTGAATCACCCCAGAGCCAAATACTGGACAACTAAGGACCACCACTGTAGCACTGAGTCCACAAAATTATTGAATCTATTTAGTCCTAAACTTGCTCAGTGTGCCTACCTGGCATCACATTGCCCATTCCTTCCTGGGAAAATTCAATAAAGTTTCTGAGTCATGCTCTGCCCTTTCCTGCCTTCTGCCTCCTAACAGGACTAGGTGCTTCTTCCATGTGGTCCTATATGCATGCGGTGCTTCCTGTTGGTAGAAATCTCTGCCAGTAAGCTTCTTCCTTCATGATAATCATTTCCATGTCTTCATATCTTACCACACCTGATTAAAGCAAATCCTGGGTACATTTTAACACAAGCATCTCAATACATTCCATACACTGTATTCAATTAACATATCTCTTAAGTCTCTTTTACTTTGTAAAATTCTGTTTTTATTGTCTTACCATGTATTGGTTAAGAAAGTAGGCCTTTTTATTTTGTTGAATTTCCCACGTTATGGATTTGGCTCTTAGCTTTGTGTCATTAATTTGTTCATATATTTCCCAAGTTTCCTGAAAACTGGGAGGTTTAGAGACCAAATTACACTTCTCAATCAATATTTTGGACAAGAATATGCCACAGGTAGTATTGCATCCATTGCATTGTATCAAGAAGCAATTCCTTCTGCTGATTTAGAAATGTTACTATTGATTACTGGGTTGTCATTCTGCCCCATTCATTAAAATCTTCCTATAATCTTTCACCTAATGGTTTTCATACCCACTGAGATCATCAAGATCTACTAATTCATAAGTAAAAAGTGTGATTGCTTGGATTCTATCATTCCTTTGACTTTTATTAGCTAGAATTCTCTAATAATAAAGAACTTTCCTTCACCAACTTCTGGTTGTCTTATATAGTCCATAAAGGAAATATATAGTTCATAAAGGAAAGGCAAGATAAGTGCTCCATTTTCCCTGTTTATTTATTAATAAATGTCCTAATGTGCTCTATAACTGATCAACACATTTGATCAGGAAAAAAAGAAGCTGGCAAAGGCTATAGCAATCACAACAAAAGGACACAGGATCCAAGCTGAAGGAATTCCCACTGGCTGATGATAGGATAATTTGAGCATTTTTTAAAAAGGCTACAATGGATTTTTAAAGTGATACAGGACTTAGAGGTGATTTTTAATTTCTAAATAGTTTCTTTTTAACCTTTATTTATTTAATTATAGTTGATTTATAATACTGTTAGTTTTAGGTGTACAGCACAGTGATTCAGTTTTATATATATGTACATATATACACACATGTATATATATATATATATATATATACAGTGTATTATATTCACATATATAGTGAATATATATATATTTTTAAAAAATTATTTTCCATTATAGGGTATTGTAAGATATTGAACACAGTCTTCCCACTGCTATACAAGTAAATCCTTGTTGTTTACCTATTTTGTATATAGTAGTGTGTATCTGTTAATCCCATACTTCTGATTTATCCCTCCATTTCCCTTTTGATAACCATGCTTGTTTTCTATGTCTGTGAGTCTGTTTCTGTTTTGTAAGTAAGTTTATTTGTACTATTTTTAGTTTCCACATATAAATGATACAGTATTTGTTTTTGTCTGACTTACTTCACTTAGTATGATAATCTCTAGGTCCATCCATCCTTCGTTAATTTTAAATAAAATTTATACTGAGGCAGAGAATACGACTGTAGAATATCTTCTCTTTTTTGCTTGTTGGGGTTTTTTCGGCCATGCTGTACAGCACGTAGTTCCCTGACTACAGATGGAACCAGTTTCCCCTCCAGTGAAAGTGCAGAGTCTTAACCACTGGACCACCAGGTAAGTCCCTAGAATATCTTCTTTTTTATGAACAAATTGAAAAAGAACTTCTTACTTTCAAGTATTTTAGCAAGAATAAGTTGGGACTTCCCTGGTGGTCGAGTGGCTAAGACTCTACACTCCCAATGCAAGTGGCCCAGGTTTGATCCCTGGTCAGGGAACTAGATCCCACACGCCACAACAAGAGCTCACATGCTGCAACTAAGAACTGGGGTAGCCAAATAAATAAATAAATAAATAATATTTTAAAAAATGAATAAGTTATCTGACATTCAATAACTGATGAGTGTTGGCAGAAGGCATTTCTATATTCATTGTGCCCAAAGTCTTTCATATGGATTTTCAAGAGAGTAACATAATAAAACAAAATTTAGTAGCTTAAAATAACAACCATTGTATCTCATGATTGTGTGGGTCAGGAATTTGGGCAGGGGCTCAGCTGGTCAATTTTTTTGTTCTACATGGCATCAACTGAGGTCACCTGTAGGAACTCAGCTGATGCTGGTCTGGAGCGTCCAAAACTGTTTACTCAAATATCTGGTGTTTTCGTGGGCATATCTGGAAGACGGCACAGCAGAGTGCCTCTCCTTCTCTATGTAGTCTCAGGGCCTTTTCATGTGGTGTCTTCAGCAGAGTAGCCAGGCTTTTTAACATAACAGTTTAAGGTCTCAACTTGAGAGAGTATTCCAAGAGATGAGGTAAAATCTACCGGTAAAATCTGGGCCCAGAAACTAGCACAGCAGTACTTCTACTATTCTACTGCTCAAAGCAGTCAGTCAACCCAGATTCACAGAGAAAGCATGTGGATTTTACCTCTTGATGGGTGAAGTGTCAAAGAATTTGCAGCAATTTTTACTCTGCCATAGTATTATAATTTTACAAATGAAAAAATTATAGTATGGAGCAGTTAAGCATCTTGTTCAATATAACACAAGTAGGAAAGTGATGGTCTAGAGATAATGATGTCTTCCCCACATCTGTTACATTAATAAGATGAGTTTGTAGAATGAATGGGAATATTCTAAGATCTGACTTGGTGGAATACATTAAATTAACACATTCTGTTAATGATATAAGCCCCCTTATGCCAAGTCAGGTGCATGAATGAAGCAAAAGGGACTAATTACTACATTCACAGACTGTTCCACAACACAGGACTGACAAGGCATTCTCATATTTTTACACTATGAATTTTTAGGTGATGGGTAAGGTGTGAATGTTGTCTAAAGGCCTTCTTACATTCCTTACATTCATAGGGTTTCTCACCAGAATGAATTCTCAGATGTTGAATAAGAGATGAATTAAGTCTAAAGGCTTTCCTACATTCCTTACATTCAAAAGGTTTCTCACCAGTATGAATGCTCTGATGTAGAGTAAGTTTTTGGCGCAATCTAAAGGCCTTCCCACATTCCTTACATTTATAGGGTTTCTCACCAACATGAATACTCTGATGTTGTGTAAGTTGTGAGAGTAGTCTAAAGGCCTTCCCGCATTCCTTACAGTCATAGGGTTTAACACCAATATGAATACTCTGGTGTGAAATAAGTTGTGAGTAACGACTAAACGCCTTCCAGCATTCCTTACATTCATAAGGTTTCTCACCAGTATGAATTCTGTGATGAAGAATAAGATGATAACCACGACTAAAAGTCTTTCCACATTCCTTACATTCATAGGGCTTCTCACCAGTATGAATTCTCTGGTGGAGTGTCAGTTGTTGTCGTACTCTAAAGGCCTTCCCACATTCTTTACATTCATAGGGTTTCTCCCCAGTATGAAGTTTGTGATGTACTCGAAGGCCAGACCCACACAAAAAGGCCTTCCCACATTCTTTACATTCATAGAGTTTGTCAGCAATATTAAGCTTCTGATGTCGAGTAAGATGTGCATACTGCCTAAAGGCTTTCCCACATTCTGTACATACATAGGGTTTCTCACCAGTATGAATCCTCTGATGGAGAGTAAGTTGTCCACGAACTCTGAAGGCCTTCCCACATTCTTTACATACATAGGGTTTCTCACCAATATGAATTTTCTGATGTACTCTAAGTTCTGGGCCACACATGAAAGATTCCCCACATTCCTTACATTCATAGAGTTTTTCACCAGAATGAAGTCTCTGATGTCGAGTAAGATGTGCCGTCTGTCTAAATGCCATCCCACATTCCTTACATTCATAAGGTTTCTCACCAGTATGAATTCGATGATGAAATGTAAGTTGTTGGCGTACTCTAAAGGCCTTCCCACATTCCTTACATTCATAGGGTTTCTCGACATAATGAATTCTCTGACATGAGGAAGGAGATGAGCGTTTTTGGTAAGGGGACATTTTTTGAGATGTGATTTTCACTTGGTTGAAATATTCCTCTTGTCCTTCAAATCTTCTTTTGGACTCCCAGTCATTTTTTAAAATGAAGCTCTTAAGGCCATGGTTTTTAATTCTTTCCATTATTTTCCACTGGGATAAGTTTATTTCATAAATGTCATTTTCTGAAGATAACTTCTTGATCTCATAGTTGGTCTCTAAATCTGAAAGAAAACAAGAGAGCAAACACATGGTTTTCTTTAACTAAAAGAAGTAAATCTGGACTTCCCTGGTGGTCCAATGGTTAAGAATCCAGCTGCCAAAGCAGGGGACATGGGTACAATCACTGGTCACTAAGTGACTGTCACAGGGCCACTAAGCCCACGCGCCACAACTACTCGGCCTGTGCTCCAGGGTCTACAAGCTGCGACTACTGAGCCTGTGTGTTGCAGTTACTAAAGCCCATGGGCCTAGAGCCTGTGATCTGCAATAAGAGAAGCCACCACAATTGTAGCCCGTGCAATGCAATGAAGAACAGCCCCCTTACTCACTGCAACTAGAGAAAGCCCACACACAGCAACAAAGACCTAATGCAGCAAAAAAATTAATTAATTAATTAATTTTAAAAAATACATAAACTGCAGCAGGTAATATTTTTAAAAAAGAAATAAAATTTCTCTTGTAGAAATAAAAGACAACCAAAGTACTACCCAATGAAATTCTAAAAATAGCTACACAATTTGGAAAAAAACCAAAAGGCAACACCAGGAAAATCAAAAGTTCATGTAGGAAAGTAAGACTGGCGATTAAGTAAACATTTTAAATCTGTGGTTCTCATATTGAGACCATGAATCAGAATCACAAGGGAGCTTTTTACAAATATTATGATTTAGATACCACCTAAACCACATGGATCAGATTCTACAGTCTTAGACAGTCCTATATTTAATATCCCCCTCAGGATCATTCTGATGGAGAAAGATTGAAAATTCATACTTAAATTTTTTCAACAATTTCTCTTTATTCTTAGAATAAAATCAAACTTGTTGTTAAAAGACCTCTGCTTACCTATAATACATCACCTCAAACCACTGTTCTCTTTACTGCTACCAGGAGAAGCCACAACCCACTTCAGTATTCTTGCCTGGAGAATCCCATGGACAGAGGAGCCTGACAAGCTACAGTCCATGGGGTTGCAAAGAGTTGGACATGACTTAGGCAACTGAGCACACATGCACACACAGGCAACTGTTCAGATCTTAGAACATATTCCCACTTACTTTCATTGTACTTTTCAGTCTGCTCTATTTCCCAAAAATCTTCTGTTTGGGCTATTTGCATGGCTGACCCCTTCTCACTCTGAGGTCTTAGATTCAGTCACTCTAAGGCTGACTCTGCTGACAGTACCTAAAGCTGTATCCTTATTATATAGTTGACCCTTGAAAAACATGGGTTTGAACTGCACAGGTCCACTTATACATGAACTTTTTTCAATAAATATACAAACACATATGTGTAGAATATTGTGTACAAGACTTGTATTGAAGTGGATAGCCTATCCTTACATAGGCATAAGGTGAGTGATATTTAATACAAAATTAATGTGTCAGCTTTCTTATTGTTTTATCACTTTGCTTTCAAAGAATCACATTACTGTACACAGTGCTTCTTTCTCACGTAATTAGAGAAACCGTATATCAGCCTGTCATCACAGGTAAGTGGTTTTGTAAAAAATGTTTTCAATACGTTTTATGAATATGACTGTAATACTGTATGCCATAAGTTTTATGCTGATTCATTCATTACTGTATAGGCTAGGCCACCATTAAGCATTCATATCAATTATACTAGGCTACCATAAAGCAATTATATTGCTGCTTCTTCATTATTGATGCATGAGTTATTATATTTGTAAATAAATATTAATTTTTTCACATTATCTTTTCATTTTAGATGTCCAGTGTAATACACTAATACCTACTTTGTTTTATATCATATAAGACAATATTGATGTAGGTTCTGACAGACAATTTATCTTATAAACAAACAACATAAACCTATGGTATCAATAAATATAGTACAGCACTATAAATGTATTTTTCTTTCTGATTTTCTTAATAATTTTTTTTACACTAATCTTATTGTAAGAATATAGTATATAATATATATAACATATAAAATATGTGTTAATCAACTATGTTATTGGTAAGGCTTTTGGTCAATAATAGGCTATTAGTAGTTAAGTGTGGGGGTAGTCAAAAGTTATATGTACATTTTTGCCTATGCTGGGGTTCAATATCCTAAACATTGGGTTGTTCATACATATATATCAACATAGATCTTTTGGCTCTTACTCACCTGGATATTGTCTTCTTCCTTGCCTCACTACTTTCCAGGGCTCTTTTCCTTGCTCTAATAAGGAAATCACATCTGGTTTAGAAATGAAGCATCCTGGACAGAAGGAAAGAAATATAAAGTGACATGGAATAATAATAAATTCAAAATTACTTTGATTTGGTCTTGGTTAAATTTTAATAAACTATAGGTCAAATTGTAAGTGATAAAGCCTTTAGAACAAAGAAAATAAGATGATTAAAAATATGTTAATATTACATAAGAAATGGAGATTACAGAGGAAAGAAAAAAGTCTTATTTTAATTTATATTCACACAAGTACTCCTTTTCTTGAAAGCAACAGTGGTTAAGAGACTGTCCTGGTTCAATCTTGCCTCTGCCATATTCCCGTAGTGTGACCTTGGACAAGTTATTTCAATGCTTTATTTTCCTCACCTATAAAATAGGGATAATTATAGTACCTATCTTACATGAATGTTCGCATTTCTTAGAATATATACTAAGTGGTATATCTACTTTATTAGTTATTATTTATCATTGTTATTTTAATGAGAGAAAAAAGAGGTTTCCTGAGGCATTTGCTATTTTTTTTTTCTTGAGATATCCATACAACGTTAAACGCAAAGTTCTTGGATTTTTAACTTTCAATCATACAAGTAGGTAGAAGCGAATATGTTTATTAACACAAAGAAAAAATTCTTGAACTTTTCTTAAAATCAATCTAGTTGATACAACTTACTGTTTAAAAATTTATACGTTCTTTTGACAGCCAGAGAAAAGCTAAGATACTAGTTCTAGCTATTTGGGGTTTCCCATGTGGCTCAGTGGTAAAGAATTCACCTGTCAAGCAGGAAGTGTGCAGGAGACCTGGGTTCAATCTCTAGGGCAGGAAGATCCCCTGCAGAAGGAAATGGCAACCCTCTCCAGTATTCTTGCCTGGGAAATCCCATGGATAGAGGAGCTTGGTGGGCTCAGTCCATGGGGTCACAAAAAGAGTTGCACAGAGACTTAGTGACTAAACAACAATAGAAGGTCACAGAAGGATGGGGAAGATGAATATGCTTAATGAGTGTGCTCATTTCCAAACAAAAAGCTCAAACCATTCCCTTGAGAACAGGGAGCAGATATTTAGTTTCTTAAAAAGTATTTCTAAAATTTCCAGAGAAGAAAGCTGATAGTACAGAGAAAAGAGACTAAATTTCTAAAGGCAGATAACCTTACCCAATGAGACCAAGTTGCTGTAGTTCTCTAACATTACATCTCTATACAAATCCCTCTGTTCCAAATTCAGGAATTCCCACTCCTCCAGAGAGAAGTCGATGGACACATCACTGAACATCACTGATCCCTGAAATGACAAGCCATATAATACAACTGAAATTAAAGAAAATTTGTTTTAAGATGGAAAGAGGGGAAAAAATGAAAGAGATACTGCTGGAAACCAATCAAGCAAACAGGTATGGGCTAGAAACCTGTAACACTGAGTTAGGAAATGAGAGTGCCAGCAGCAGAATGCCTGTGGGTCCCTGACCAACTGTGTTGCTACAGATAAAGCCTTTTATATACTCTGGCATATCTTAACTACCCAAACACATATGAGAAAGGAAAAAAAAGTTTTCTAATTAAATGAAATACTGTATATAAGCCTTCTGCCTGTTCTATGTCTCCCTCACAAATTCTTAAGAAATTTTTTTTTTTTTTAAGAAATGTGTTCTTGGGGGGGGTTAAAAAAAAAAAAAAAAGAAAAAGAAATGTGTTCTTATACCCTTTCCTCTTAAAGAACAGACTGTTGCTTTAAAAAAAATTTTGATGGTTTTATCCTTTTTAAAAAAATTATGTCTTTATTTTTGGCTACACTGGGTCTTCAGTGCTGCACATGGGCTTTTTCTAGCTGTGGTGCAAGGGCTTCTCTTTGTGGTGGCTTCTCTTGTTGCAGAGCACGGGCTTTACAGCACTTGGGCTCAGTAGTTGTGGTGCACTGGCTTTGCTGCCCTGTGGCATGTGGGATCTTCCCAGACCAGGGATCAAACCAGTGTCCCCTGCGTCGCAAGGCAGATTCTTTACCAATGGACTACCAGGGAAGCCCCAAGAACAGATTTTTTTTTTTTTAAGTTTTTCTGATAATTCTGAT